GAAGTGGGAAGGCCCACTCTTATCCAGATCTTTGAGGTGGGAAGGTTCGCCTTTAATCTGGGTTCCACCTTCTGCGAGGCAGCCCATATAAAGGACACGGAAGAAGGAAGCTTGCTCTCTCTTTGCCTTCCTGTGCCCACTCTCCCTAGCAAGTCCCTTCACGGCATAAGAGCCTACTTCTTCAAGATTTTGACATATACCTGAAGACCAGCTGAGACATTCAGCCTCATGAACCACCGAATTCTTGGACATTCTTTTGGTGGACAGCCATTGTTGGACTAGCTGGACCACAACCTGTAGGCCATTCTAACAAATCCCCTTTCTATATATACAGAGATTCAGTCTACAAGTTCTGCTCCTCCAGAGAAGCCTCACAAACACAAAGGGACTGGGGCAATGAAGTCCCTGAGTCCTTGTCTTCAGGGGGACAGCTCCATCGGTTCTGAAATCCAGGACATTGTGAGGGCTCAATGGAGTTTATGGGCCATAAAGATTGAGAAATAATCAAAACTAGCTATTCTTTGCATTAAGATAAAGGTCCTAGCCAGGCAGTGGTGGTATATACTAATCCCAGCATTCAGGAGGCAGAGACAGGCTGATCTCTGGTCTACAGAGAGAGTTCTAGGACAGCCAGGGCTACGTAGAGAGACCCTGTCTAAGTAGATCTTAGAGACAGCTGCCTAAATAGATCCTTAGCTTTAATGTTGGCTTCTGAAGCCACAGCTAGGACTATTGAGTGGTCTGCTGGGACTTCACACTCACAGGCTCTAGAGAAAGCTACAGATCCCAGTTATCTGGGCTTCAACTTAAGACCTCTTGTTCTCTTGAACACTAAGTCCCAGATTACTAGAGGTAGAGGACAGAGAAGGGCCTTCGTGTCTCATGTCTGTTCTGTAAAGCCACCACGATTACCTGATGTGCTGTGTGCCGAGAGCCTCACAGGTGGAACTGGGGGCCATGAAGGGGCCTGGAGTTCCCTAGCTGCTGTCTGCTGCTGATTCTGGAGCAGAGGGGGAGAGTTTCTGGTTGAGCCACACACAGTTGTAACCACTTAGTAAAAAGTTGGTAGGAAGGAGCTCAAACAGCATTTCAAATATTGAGTTGGACCATGGGACCTGAAGTGAGACAGTAGCCATGGGAGAGTGTAACTAAAAAGCAGGGTCAGGTTAAACCACAAAGAAAATTCTCCACAAGGGCACAGTGGGAATGAATGAATGGTTCCTACCGACACAGCAAGGCAGGATTTTTACCAAAATCCAGAAGCTGGTACTACCTGGTTAGGAAGAAATTCATCTCCAGATACAACACAGGAGTATCAGAGTCCTGGGCAGGCAGGACAGTTGTCTAGGGGCCTTTTTATCCCCCAAATCCTCAAGTCAGATCTTCAGTTCTCTCGTGAAAAACTCCTAGTGATCTCTAGACTGAAGCCAGGAGATGGCGTGCTGCCAGGTAGGCCAAACAGCACTTCGCTTTGTGTGAAGATGAATGTATGAAGGAAGGTCTCAAAACAGGCCTTAAATGTTGAGTGTGGTGTTTACACATGTGTGCACTGGCACTCCCCTGCCCTGCCTTACTCTAAATGCGGAGGGTGCCATTGGCAATCCCATCTGTAGAGCAGTCTCCTTACACACCAGCCAATCAGCAAAACACAGTCCCGTTCTGTTCAGGAATGTGTTCTCAGAAACTTAATCTAACGGCCGGCCGAGTCTGGGCCAAACCTCCAGGTGGCATTAACCCAAAACCAGCACCCCTTTCTCTGGCCCCCACCAGCCTTCCTGCCAGCTTAGTGATGCCTCCCTGAAGCCTGGAAGGCTGCATCCCCACTCTCCCCCCAACTACATCCTCTGTAGGGTACCCACCCCCACCCGCTCAGCCCATCTTTCCCACTTCTCCTTTCCAGTCAGCCCAAACATTTCACTTTGGATACATGTCTGAATGACAAGCCAGCAGCTCTTGGCTTTCAAAGAGAGCAGCCCCACTCTCTTCCAACCACACAGACCTTCAAGCACCCAAGAAAGCAGGAGCCACGGTTTGTCTGGTTTTGTTTTAAACGAAGACTGTAAGTTGAACCTCCTTACACAGATACACTTTGAATCAAACAGAGAGGTCCAACCCAAACCACTTCTTCTCCAACTCCTCCTTCTCCAAACAGTAAGAGGCGCGGGCTGGCTCCTCAACCCGGATGGACAATTTTAGAGTGTCTTGAGCTTCTGAGGACACATGCTGACCATTTGCAGACAGAATCTCTCTTCTAGATGCCCCGTCAAGGCACAGATGTTGAAAGGCACATCTTATTGGTAATAATGAACAACTGGGAAAGAGTGAATTGCCCAGCCACAGGAAATACTTCCGTCCACTATAAAAGAATTTTACTGGAGGGAGGTTGCGTAAGTTAACTAAGTGCACAATGGAATATGTTAGAGCTATGGTTATGTGATATACACATATGCAGAAACTCATTGGTTGTCTAATTAGGAGCCGTGCCCTTTGCATTTTATTGTGTGCATTTTATACTCACTGAAGGAGAAAAGGTAAATCATCATGTGGCCAAAGGAAAATGCTTATTGTACAATGACAAAGGGGAAAGTTAACAATAGAATATTTATTATTCAACCATATTATAAAACCAAAATAAATATATGGATGTGGATAAAAACTGGACAAGTATATGCTAAGATGACAATCATGGCTGTGTGAAGATTGGCAGACTTAAGGGTTACATTGCTTTTTACTTATTCCAAACTTTCTATAGGGCAGTTCTAATTTTAAAATTAGTAACAGAGGAAGTGGGAAATGTCTGATGCCAAGAAGTGTGATTGTGATCTCAGCCACTCTTAATGTGATGAGATGACTCCCTACCTATCCCCACCTCTTCCTCTAAGCCTTCCAGCATCCCCCTACCCACTCTGAAGAAAGCGCCAGAGGAAAAAGCCTAGCTGCACTTTGCCCGGTGCTTAGCTTACTCCCAGACACCTGACACTCAGACTCAACAGTACTCTTTCTGCCAAGAAGGAGAGTGGGGTGGGGACAGATGTAGTTCAGTGTCAACCTGGCCCCTCAGGAAGACACTCTTTGCCCATCCCTGGTAGGAAAGGGCAAAACGTCTCAATATTTCCTATAAATTAGGGCACCGCCAGCAGCCCTGTTCCACTCTCCCACAGTGACATCCTGTTAGGAATCCAGGACCAGAGGCACAGAGAGCCTTTCTCCGTTGCTTGGGGAGCTTTACTCTTTTGTTCATCAGTTTCCCTATTCCTTGATACTCTTTCCAGGTCTCACGCGCAGTGATTTCACGTGACTTCAATAGACCCACACTGCAGAAGTTTTCTCCTCTGGACCTATGATGTGGGTCAGCTCACTTCCTAGAACCCCATTACCCATGAGGCCAACGGTGATGGTGTCAGGGAAGCCAGAAACAAGCTTGTCAGGGATAAGGGGACACTATTAAGTTATGAGAACATGAGTTTTAGAAATCTCAAAGATTATATCCAAATGCCTAATGACTTGACAGGTTTCACAGTTCCTACACTTCAGGTGGAAATGTCCTAGGTGGAAGAATTCTTTGTTCCCTGGCATAACAAGAATGAGCACTGAGGTTGTTCTTCTGACTTCAGGAACATATTTGATTAGACATTATCATGAAGGGCTCGTGAACAAGGACTGAAAAACAGATAGCAAATGCCCTGTGCGTAGGACATTGTACATCTAGTGGCAATCACATATAAAGGCAGTGTGTCACAATGTCCCCCCTCTCCACCATATGGCCTAACACAATGAGTTGAGTGGGGCACAAAGAGTGTCAACTAGCATTACCTGTCCTGGGTGAGGCTCCTCATCCAGATGTGACCCTTAAGTCACTTGACCCTTACTTTGTTTTATTGAATGCTCAAAATACATTCTCAAACTCGTGAAAATTATGTCTCACGCTCACAAGCATAAAACAATGTGAGCAGTCCTAAAGACCATGTGGCAGGAAGTGCTGAGTCCACCAGAAATGTGCATGCACGAGTGTGTGTGTGTCTGTGTGTGTGTGTGTGTGTGTGTGTGTGTTGGACAGGTGGGTGGTGGGTGGGTGGGAGGTTGGAAGCTACTTAGCCCTTGCCTTCCATATATTGGCCTGAGGACATACGTTCTTTTAAGGTAATAATAACAGACAAGCTGAATGCCTACAGACAACGATTTCAATCAACTACCTCACACTGAGAGTAGCAATATAAGATGAGCAAACCCCTAAAAAGAAAGAAAGAAAGACAAAGAGAAGAATGAGGACCGTGAGTGGGTGTCACTTCCTTCTTATTTCTCTTCTCTTTATCCATTTACTAAGCAGTTTCCTTTGCATTTGTTCAGGAATTTATATTTAGGGTCTGGTCAGATGGCTCAGCGGGTAAAAGCACCTACCATTGAGCCTGAACCTGTGTTCATTCCTCTAGGACCCTCATGGTGGAAGAAGATAACCAGCTCCCACAAGTTATCTTCTGGCCTGCGCCTGTACTCAGTGGCAACACACACACACACACACACACACACACACACACACACACACACACACACACACATACACACACACACACACTACTACTACTACTAATAATAATACATTTTAAATAATTTATCCCAGGCATTAGGAATATGCTGAGGCCATGTTTGGAGTGCACAGGCTCTCTCCATAGTCCTACAATAAAAACCCTGACTGAAACCACCGTGATGAAGGGGTATGATGTAAAACTGAGTGCTGCCCAGAGGACAGCTTGTCGTATCCTACTAAGACAACTGGCCAAGTCGAGAGGCGACACCAATTCTGAGTCCCTAGAACAGTTCACTCCCCGTAGATGCTCTACATATCACACTGCTCAGAGGGAAAACTTCTCCATGACACCACAGAACCCAAGACTGTTGAGTAGCCACCACTTGACTATGAAAAGTTTTAGCAGTTGTGGCCCCTTTAATACTATGGTTAAGAAAGAGTTGGAAAGGGAGGTGTGGCAAAGAAGTAGACTCACTGGCTAGTGTCACTGTGGCTGGCACACTGGCCACAGCTCCTGCGGGAATCCGAGCCACACATTGGTACCGTCCCACAGTGTGGTTGTTGAGCGCAGCAATGACGAGGGTCCCACGGGTGATGAGGACACCCAGAGCATCATCCGAGCCATTAAGCTCCTTCCCGTTGAAGCGCCAAGTTACATTCACCCATGGGGGCTCCACCACACAGCCCAGGATCACAGTTCCTCCTAGCTTCTGGACAGTGGACATGGGCTGGACAGTGACCTGGGGAACCTCACCTGGGAAAAGAGCATCAAGCAACAATGAGCAGAGTTCCCCGAGAAGCCGCTGCCACCACCACCTTTTGAGAAGCCACCTAGGATCCAGCACCCAGGCAGGCTGCTCTCTTGAATAAGCCAGCCATTCTTGCTCTTTTCCCACCGTTTCCAGAAAGTCCCCTTGTACTTGGCGGTATAAAGAGAAAAGGTCAGGCTCAGACCTTGACCGAATCCAGTGACACTGCTTCTGAGCCGGGCAATCCTGATCTTTCTGTAAACCGAGGCTACTAAAGCTTAACTCAACATTGTCGTGAGACTCACAGAGTATGCAAATGCCCTACTCTGGGCTCTTACAATAAATGCACACTATGGGCAGCTATTATTGGTACTCTTTTTCTATGAATAGATATCTTTGAAATTACTACAATGCAAAACTGTAACCGATACCGCATTGTCCTGATCACTTTTCACCTTGTGTTCTCAAGTATACGAGGGCCAGGAGCTCAGCAGAGATATAGTGCTCTCAGTACACTAAGCTGCTTCAGACTCCCATCTGACATTAAGGCCAAGCATTCTTCCAGGAGGGGCAGGCTGAGAACCTAAGGGAAACACTCACCCAAATCAGCAAGGCAGCTTGTGGCGGCCCAGAGGAGCCCAACCAGTGCAGCCATAGGGGACTTTCCTCTACACGTTGTCATCTTCCCACACAGTATGGTGTGTCACAGAGGGTTCCAGGCCAAAGTCCCATAAGCCACGTGTGACCCTTGTAGAGCTATGGCAGTCCTCTGTAACCCTGTTGCAAGAGAAATTGGGAGAATGGCCACGGTGAGAATATCTGGGGCTTGGCGCATCCCTCAATCCACCCTATCACACTTGCAAGCAGGGTTCAAAATGTCTGTGCTGCCGGAGGACCACAGAGGCTCTTCATGACATTTCTTATCTGAAGGATGTGTTTAATCAGGATCCCTCCTGTGACAAGAGGTAATGTCATCATGGAAACAAGAAAGGGTTTAATATAGATTTAAGCATGGACATTAGAATATTGCAGGAGAGATGATGAGTTGGGGAAAACGTTACACACTCAAGACATGAGTGTGAGTCTCTCAAGAGAGAAGAGTGTTCAAGCATATTACCAAGAGCCCTTTATACAATTTTTGATGTTACACTGTTCAAAGAGTTCCCTCCCTCCCTCCTTCCCTCCTTCCCTTCTTCCCTCCCTCCCTCCCTCCCTCCCTCCCTCCCTCCCTCCCTCCCTCCCTCCCTCCCTCCTTCCCTCCCTCCCTTACCAAGGCAAGATCTCTTGCTGACCCAGAGTTGTCCAGTTTGGTAAATCTAGTGAACCTAGACAGTCACTTTGCCCACAGGTGTGCCTTAGGTGGGTATTTCAGTCCTTCATACCCAACCCTGCCCCAGCTTCTTGCCCTGTGCTTAGGATCTGCCTAGAAACCTTGCTTTCCTGAGGCCCTTTGACTCTGGGTATGGGCCACATAGGCTCCACCCAATGTGTAACCTCTACACACACCTTTGGCCCCAACCCACAATGAGGGAGGCTCATGGCGTGTCCCAAGGTAGAGTTCTTGCCCATTGGTGTTCACTGCCACCCTTTGCCAGGGTCCTCCAAACTCTCTCAATAGTCCTAGGGCACACAGGGACATTTTCTGTTTGACAGGAAAGTCTGAAGGAAGGTTTGAAAGGTTCCTCTTCTGACATCCTCAATAATTTCCCACCATGTAGAAAATGGTCCTGTTTTCATAATCTAATAAATCAAAGGGCTCCATAAAGTGAAACTCATGGGGCGTGTAAAGCTCATACACTGGATGCCGTGATGCTGGAGATAGCAGGAGGGTGAGAGAGTGCCTGCCCGCTGCTATTCCAGAGACCAGCCAAGCTCTACACAAGTCTAGTTCTCTCACCAGCACACCAGCCCCAAGAGGTGGGGGGCCATTGTCTCTACTTCACAGGTGAAGAAATGGAACATCAGAAACATAATTATTCACCGTTGTAAAACTGGACGCCATGGCTAAAAGCCACGGGCTGCCTCCAGGGCCCTAGTCTTTGCCCACCTTTCTTATCAGGGATATGTACCCATTGGTTTTGGTTTTGTTGTTGTTGTTGTTGTTGTTGTTTGTTCGTTTTTTAACAGAGTTGGAATAAGTACATGGCCAGTCAGTGATTGTTATAGGAAACATCTTGCCAAAAATTATTACTTTCTGGGTCCTTTCAAATTTCCAGATCATTGCTTTTTCAGTTCTCAATCGACTTTTTCCCCAATGAGATGATGTGTTAAAGTAGAACCGTGCCTGAGTTCCTAGTTCCAGGATTTCTTTTTGTAAGGGAACTAGCTCATTCACGACATGCCCCAGTTTCTCGATCCCCTTAAGGACACTGGCAGCAACTTTCTTCCCAGCCCAGGAAAGACAGACGGGGGAGGGAGCGGGGAAAGGGAGAAGGGAGAGGGAATGTGAGCATGAGGCAATAAATAGCCAAGAGGGAGCAAGCAGACCAAGTAGGCCAAGGGCTGTTTCTCATCTAGGCGTGCACACGGTGCACACGGAGGTGTTTGAGTTGTAAAATGGACGAAGGTTTTACTGAGGAAACTCAGCCCAAGCCCCCCACTGCTTTAGGAGGACAGGCCAAACAGATCCCATCACTTCTGCACCCTTGGTGATTTACACAGTTCAAAATGGAAACAGCCCTCACTACTGCAGCCAGCCACCCTCCTGGTTCTTTTTTTTTTTTTTTTTTTTTTTTAGGAAAAAAGGAGAAAAGAAAAGAACATGGTAATGGAGTGCGAGGGGAGATAGAGGGGAAGCATGAATTAGCTGACCTCGCGGAGGAATTCTGAGCTCATTTTGTAATCATAGAATTATGAGGAGGGCAACAACAAAGAGGTTTGTGGAACTGAAGTGTTTTGTTTTTTTATTGTTTGTTTTTTGTTTTTTTTTTTCAGGCTGGCTAGGGAAACTGAGTATCAAGTTACTCTTTTTTGAGACAGGGTCTCACACTGCAGCTCAAGTTGGCCTGGAGCTTACTATGCAGCTCAGGCTGGTCTTGAACTTAAAGCAGCCACTCTGCCTTGACTTCTCCATACTTTACAGGGTTTTATTGGTATGAGCCACCATATCTGGCTTAGATACATTTTACTTTGTCTTTTAATTTTCTTTTTAATTCGTAGAGCTAGGTATTGAATCCAGGGTCTTGGCACATGACAGGCATGATCTTTACCATGGAACTATAGCCCCTAAATTCTTCACTTTTGTCTGTTTGGTTTGGAAGGTACTGGGGACGGAGCCCAGAACCTCACATATTGTGTATTGTGGGTATTCACTGACACTTCCTATACTAAGGTACCTACTATGCTTGATCACATAACAATTCCAAAGGTATGGGTATTAATGAATCTTATTTAAAACGCATATGCACACACATATATATATCTATTATATATGGTAGGAATATATAATGGATATATATATAATATATATATATATGGGTTGCGATGGAAAACCTAACTGCAGTGTGACTTTGCCTCATTGTGAAATACGTGAGATATTTTCAATGTTGGAGGAAGACACCAGCAAGGCCTGTTATTTTTCTTGGCAATATAAAAATATGTCTGGATCCACCTATTTTCTTACTCATTTTCTCAGAAAAAGAAGACATTTTTAAAATACCTAAAGCAGACAAACAGGAAAATGAATTCTTGCCATGAATTCCCGTCCGCGAGGACTAGTAACTCGCCATTATAAAGGATGATCTCCACATAAAAGTTTGTCTGAGCAGCTTCACTCCTTACACTCAAATTTCCTACTGAAATAATTAACTCCCGGCAGCCATTGCTGATGCTGCCCAAAAGCAACAGCAAAACACATTTCTGGGGTTGAGAAATGCATGAGAAATTGTGGCCTTGAAATATTTATTTATCTTTTTTTTTTGAGAAAATTACAAACATCAGAGAGTCTATGATCAGGAGGCAGCGGGTCCCACTACTTCTCATGAGGCTGGCTGAGCACATGGAAGAGAGTGAACCTCCACGGGGGCCTCTCTCTCCCTCTTTGTACCTCACCTGCTCAGAGGCAGGTCCTCGGCAGGGCCTGTGCCTGCACCGATGACAGGAGAGGGCAGTCAAGCAGACCACATGAGACTCCTTAGGAACAAAGTGACGGGCAAGAAGGAGAGCTGACAGAGTCTTTTGTTTTGCTGGCTGAGAAAGGCTAGACAATTAAGTACATCTGCCAAGGTACATGTTTTGACAGGCTCCCCATTTTATAGAGTAAGATTCCCCATTCCTAGTGGTCTGTGAAAGCAGAGCTAAACTTTGTTCACCCCTTAGTGGAGACAAGAAGTTAAGTGGGTACAAGTGTTGGTAGCCCCAGGTCTCAAAAGAGTAGAACCCCTATACAAAAGATCACGCTACAGGAGGCATTAGGAAATCACAAACATTCATTTCTTGGAGGGATGAAATGCAAATTGAGAGAGATTTAGGAGAGGGAATATCCAAAAAACTACCAAAACACCACATACACACCCTTGAAAATATATAGTAAAAAAGTTTATTTTTACTTAAAATGTTGTGTTTTACCCACAGACCTAATTAAAAGGAAACTTTTTTTAAATTGGAAGGGCCTCAAGAAAAATGCAGTATGGCTTAGAATAACATCTCGTGTGTTTCCAGGCAACTGAATCTCCCAGTTAATTAAGCCAGGAGACTGGAGCTACAAGTCGTTTCAGAATCACAACCCAGTGCTCATCTCTCAGTACCCAGCATCATCCCCTGCAGGGTTCAGAACTGTTTATAACTGTTTCAGCATCTGGTTCCTTATGCATAAAGATAATATTGCCTGTGTTGCCATCTGCCGCAGTGATGTGTGTGTGTGTGTGTGTGTGTGTGTGTGTGTGTGTGTGTGTGTGTGGTGCTTGCATAGTTGATGTATTACTTCTTAGTGTGTGTGTTCATGTGTGTACGTAGGCCTGAGACGGAGAACAGGTGTCTTTCCCTGATCACTTTCCATCTTTTCTGTTTTTAAACAAGGTCTCTCAATGGGCAAGATACTCTCCAAATTCCCTAGACTGATTGGTCGACGAGCTCTGGGGATCCACCTGTGTCTCATCAGTGTTAGAGTTACAGGAGGGTACCAACCTACCCCCAGTCCAGAATACATGGGTTCTGGAGATCTGGACTCAGGACTTCATGTGTGTGGCAGGCACATTACAGATGGAGCTTTCTCTCTAGACCCATGGCAACTTTCATCATTCTTATCACAAACATACTAAATGCATAATAACCTCTTAAAGTTTACTACACAAGCCCTCTATGATAAAAATTATAAGATACAGTTGTGCTACCCCAAACAACAGGTGACAACTGGCCATCTGTCAAGTTGTGCAATCTGGCTAATATAACAACGGAACTAGGTGTTACGTTTGCTTTAAGTGATCATACAGGGCTAGTGACTACATTTGTCAGAGGTTCTAGATTAATACCTGAAACATCTACCTAGAGCTCTCCAGTCCCTCCCTCCTTTTTTTCCTCCCACCCTCCCTTCATTTCATTTCCCTCTTATGTGTTGATGGGGGTTGCATGTGCATTCGTGTTCATACATATGTAGAAGCCAGAGAACAATCTTGGGTGTTGTTCTTCAAATGCCATTCATTTTTTTAGGCAGAGTCTCTCACTGACCTGAAAATCCTAAATAAGCTAGTCTGGCTAACCAGCAGCCCCAGAGATCCATCTGTCTTCTACTCTGTGTGGATGTGCACCATTACTCTCAACTTTTTTTAGAATGTGGGTCC